CCAGCAGCACGGATCCCACACATGGATCCCAACATCCCTACCTGAACCGTTTTGTGTTCCAGCGTAGGTTCTAATACCCGTCAGGGTCATAAATCTTCAACAGCAGCAGCATGGATCTCTCACTGAGATCCCAAGCTTATCTGAGCCGTCTCGCTCCAGCATAAGCATCGATCCCTTCGAGGGTCACAAAGTCTTTAACAGGACTCTGCCTCACCTGAGCCGCTTTTACTCCAGCATAAGGCTTTCTCTGTTAAAGTCACAAATCTCTGGTGTATCCACAAGTTCCTCTGTGAGCCACACGGGGGGTCTCTTCACCCCAACAAACTTTCACAGGTGGCAGGGTTTTATTTTTCAGTCTTTACCCTACTGAAGAGAGGGAGAGCGAAAGGGAGAAAAACAGCAGCTCTCCCCCCTTCGAACTTTTCTTCTCTCTCCTGTGCTGCCAGTTTCGACCTTGGAAAATCCTGTTATCTCATGGCTGGAATTCTTCTGCAGCGGTTTCTCATCTAAGCAGTTCGTCTTTTAAACTTTTTTTTCTTCACTCTCTCACAAGAGAGAAGGGAGGCTTCAGTACTGCACCTGCCCCCCCCGGCCCAAGCCGGGGAGGAGGGGGCCTTGGCCCTCCTCGGGCCCACTACCCTTCTACATGGCTGCTGCTCTTAATTTCAACTGCGCCACAACCTTCTCTTCCGTTTTCTTAAAGATGTAATTAGCAAAGGCGTCACTGAACTTTTTGATTGGTTTTTTGTCCGGAAATCACCTGGACAAAACCATCCTCAGCCCCAGGGATGGGCTGGTGAGCAAAACCACGACAATTTCCCTCCTTCGCCTTTGCGAATTACATTTTAAGAAATTTTAAATTCTACAATAAACATATAATTATAAATAGACAAACTATAACTAAAAATTACTCTATTAAAACTTAAAACAATATTACTATAATATTTTAACTCTATTATTCTCTTTCTACTACAACCACAGTACACATGGTCAGCCTACTTTTGTCTGCAGACCTTTCTCTCAGTTATCTTAAAATCATTATGGCCAATTCTTCACATGAGGCACTAAAAATGTTGGGGTTTGATTCTTTAGTTATTGCCTTTTTGGGCAGTCTTTGCCCGCATTCTCCACCAAAAAATGTCGTGGTTTTGTTCTGGCTCAATTTACTTTTATACCTCCCATACAATTAGTATCAGTTGAGAGAAGGTTTATGCAGATAAAAAGAGACTGAATTGAAAAAAAAGTATGAGTATTTATTATTAACAAGCTAACACTAAAGAATTATATTTACAACAATTCTACTTAAGTAAAAGGTATTATGTATTTACAAAAGATATTTCTCCCCCCACTTCCCTTTATATCAGTCCAAGGAGGAGAAGCAGTCCTTTTTTTGTTCTCAGAATTCCAGCTCTCTCTCTCTCTCTCCAGTAACTCTGCAGCACTTTCGTCGCAGTTGGAACTTCTTTATCTCTCTCTCTATCTCTATGTCGGCCTCCAGGGCTGGGCCTACCCCCTCCTGGGTTAAAACCGAAGGCTGAGGGTTACCCAGGTCCTGAAGGGTCTCCTTCCATAGGCTTGCAAGGGGACACTTGCTTACTATGGATCTTCTTCCACAGGGTTACAGGGGATAATGGTTTAAGAGTTCACCCCTGTTTCCCTATGGAGGTCCCTCCCCATGGGAGAACAGTCCTTGATTGACTTCTCGGCATGGGTCTAGTCTGGATCCCTTACTTGGATCCCAATATCCCACCTGAGCCATTTTCTGCTCCAGCGTAGGTTCTCTCTAGCACCAGCAGCACGGATCCCACACATGGATCCCAACATCCCTACCTGAACCGCTTTGTGTTCCAGCGTAGGTTCTAATACCCGTCAGGGTCATAAATCTTCAACAGCAGCAGCATGGATCTCTCACTGAGATCCCAAGCTTATCTGAGCCGTCTCGCTCCAGCATAAGCATCGATCCCTTCGAGGGTCACAAAGTCTTTAACAGGACTCTGCCTCACCTGAGCCGCTTTTACTCCAGCATAAGGCTTTCTCTGTTAAAGTCACAAATCTCTGGTGTATCCACAAGTTCCTCTGTGAGCCACACGGGGGGTCTCTTCACCCCAACAAACTTTCACAGGTGGCAGGGTTTTATTTTTCAGTCTTTACCCTACTGAAGAGAGGGAGAGCGAAAGGGAGAAAAACAGCAGCTCTCCCCCCTTCGAACTTTTCTTCTCTCTCCTGTGCTGCCAGTTTCGACCTTGGAAAATCCTGTTATCTCATGGCTGGAATTCTTCTGCAGCGGTTTCTCATCTAAGCAGTTCGTCTTTTAAACTTTTTTTTCTTCACTCTCTCACAAGAGAGAAGGGAGGCTTCAGTACTGCACCTGCCCCCCCCGGCCCAAGCCGGGGAGGAGGGGGCCTTGGCCCTCCTCGGGCCCACTACCCTTCTACATGGCTGCTGCTCTTAATTTCAACTGCGCCACAACCTTCTCTTCCGTTTTCTTAAAGATGTAATTAGCAAAGGCGTCACTGAACTTTTTGATTGGTTTTTTGTCCGGAAATCACCTGGACAAAACCATCCTCAGCCCCAGGGATGGGCTGGTGAGCAAAACCACGACATATACGAAATATACTCCTCTGTTCCAAAAGCATATAATTTCCCGGTCCAAAAGATTAAAAAATTTATAGGTTTTTTTACATTTTTTTACGTTATATAAAATATTTCAACAAATTTGCTTTTCTAATGCAGAATCTGAAAGACTGCCCCCATATTCTTTAATACCAAGATACCATCACACCCACTTAATCGTATAACTCTTAAATGTAACATAATTTCACCTCAGTATTATCATGGTCATGTGCCTCAATAAATTTCTCATCCCTTTCATTTTATCCCTGTTTTCAAATTAGTAAATCTGTATCTATCAATGTATGACTGGTAGTGAGGATAGAAAACTGTCAGTTAGAGGTAAGCTCCATGAAGCAATTATCTGTCACCACTCTTTCTCTGAACCAAACTATAGCTTTCCAGGACTTCTGGAAAGCAGACAGTGACAGGAGATATTGCAAAAATAGACTGAGTAACCTGCATTACAGCATCAGGTGCTTTTTGTGTTTCCACTTCTCCTGGACTGCCCATTATGCCTGTATGAAATTTACCTTTCCATCCTCGAGCATGGAATTTACCGATTAATGGGTTGTACTAAAAGTAAAATACCTTGGGGACTCTCAAATTGTGTTCTGGACTTAAAAAAAAAAAAAGCCAAACCTGTTTGAAAGATATCTTTTCATGTAACAAACTGCTTTTGTTCACAGTCTCTCTCAGTCTCAGCCAGACTAGCAATAAAGTTTGGGTTATGCCATTTCTAGATTCATATGTCAAATCTTTCCATAGCTCTTCACTAGAAACAAATAATGTTCTTTGTAGATCTGCAGCCAAAAGAAAACTTGATACATATATCACACATATACAAATATAATTTCAAAACACTGACAAGCAGGAACTCAAGACTATATCCCTGTCTTTGTGAGCAGGATGTGTATTAAGGTCATTTTAAAATAAGATAGATAACTAGAAGTAGTTTACTTACTTTGCAAAGTGTTTTACTCTATTTAATATTTTTTCCATGCTAATAAATAATGACTCTGCCTGCAGTCTTCTAAGATAATGATTCTAGAATTTTATTTTTTTAAAAATGGAGGCAGCAGTCTGCTGCAATTCTCTTACCACCAAGGATCAGGAACTTCCATTCAGATCTCTTACTGCTCTTCTACATGCTTGTTAATGTAAAATGTTTTGGTGCCATAGTCATAAAAATCCACTGAAGATTATAAAAGTTGTCCTTTTTTCCAGTCAGCTTTACTAACCAGTGCTATCCACATATGTCCATTTGATCCACTTAAATACTCAATGAATTTTAAAAGGAAAAAATTATAGTTACACTAAAGTAATATTTGCAATGTTACTTTTTACCATGCTAAGGTGCCTCAGAGCTGTTTCCAACAGTTATTCAAATTGTTTTTACTAAAGGAAGCCAGTTCACCCTGGAAAAAAATGGGGTTTGATAGTACCAGAAAGAAGACTGAAAATAATTGTATTCCCCTGTATGTTTTACAAACAAGAGACAAACTAACATCATATAATAGCAATATTCATATTCTGTTGGCATCAGAAGTCTATAAAAGCACAAACTGATAGGTATTGATACTCATAGCTCTTAATAAAGCCCAGAATTTGAAGGGATAATCAAGGTTTTGGTATACCAGAAAAAGATACAAAACTATAGTTATATTTAATCAATTACATATAAACACCTAATTCAACCAAAAAAAAAAAAAAAAAAACCAATCAAGATTACATTTATTCTTCTTTGTTAAGATTTCATTTGAATACCTAACTTACTACTTTCACTGCTGACTGAGTTAAGAATCTGCATAACTATATCTGCACTGGAGGCAAGGCAGCCCACTCATCAGGTTGAAATAACATGTATCCCAGGTAAAGTGGTTTATTTTAAATAGCTTTTCTGAGTACAAAGGATGCTGGAGCGGTAACCCTTTTTGCTTCCACCTGAGGCAATTTGCTACTATTACAGAGACAGACACTGTCTCAACACCTATATGCTGTGCCCTTCCTGTCCCCTGAATACCAAACACTGTTTTGATGAGGGACGTAAAATATGGCAGAATCACTGACTGAATGTACTTTTACTAATTTTTTACCTTTTCAATGCTGCACAAAGCAAGTTTCAAAGCAGAAAAGCAAAAACGGTCCTCATGTCTTCATGTGCTTCTAAAAAATGTTTACCATTTATTCCTCCCAAATCAAAAAGCTTACATTTTTGCCTATAACTACAGGCTTGTCTGAATTTTGAACAAGAACAGGCAAGAATCTTCAAAAAAATCCTTTTCAAGTCATATTTATTTCCCTTTGATTTTGTTTTAAATGAAGATTCTATCATTAATCATATAAATGGCAAAAGAAGATAATTTGCACATAGAAAAATAATTACATACCTTATATTGGATAAGGAGACCGTAAACTAAAATGTTTTTCTTTTTAGTTTCCCTTGCAAATTTCTTGATGCTTGTTAGTTCTTCCATCCCAATGCTGAAAGAATTATTTCCTGATATATCCAGGTATACCTGCAAGGGAACAAGTAAGGAAAGAAAAAAATCCACTTTTTCAATAGTGTACCATTCTAGACCACCAAATTTTATTTATATGTTAGTTTTATGTTAAGCACACATAAAAATACAAATGTTTTTCTTAGCTAGCTTCTATTACTATTGAACTCCCTTGCTTATACATTTAGTGACATGAAAATTATTTCTTTTCAAAAGACAATGAAACCAGAACACATCAGAACAGAATGTAATAACTGCATCTTAAAAATATTCAATTAAATCAGAAAACAAACAGCATTCTTCTCTAAGTTCTATTCTAGTTTTCACAGTTGGTTGGAGTTTAGGTTTGGTTTTTTTTTTTACTATCAGGGTACTACAGAAGTACAGGTGTTTTTCTTAAGCATCTTCAAGGTTTTCAAGACAGAACTGCATTCTTTAAAGGTTTATTTTGAATATACTATCCTTTCAGTATAGCATATTGTTGCCTAAATTGGATTATGTCAAGATAACAATTCAAGTTTAAAAAGCAGAAGCTACTTCAAAAGAAGATAGGGATATGACTATCCTGAGCTCCTGATCAGGGAAAGGCAGGTCTCATATCCATCAGGGATGCTGTACAAACATGGTGGGTCTTACAGGATCTGAACTAGTATTTCCTGGGAGGTTATCAACTAGTTCAACCCTTTCCTAAGGCTTATGTATTCCATAGTGTAATCAATTTACTTTACAAAGCTTCTATGAACTATAGAAATCAAATGAAGGATGATATAAAGTTTCAGCATCTACTAATAGCAGAAATACCTCTCCCCCTAAAAGAAAAACATTTTTCTGGCTAAATGATTCCATCATCATAAAATTTATCTTTAACCACTACACAGAGGTAGAAGTATAGAGGTTATCCCAGAGACCAGTGCTTGGGAAAATTATTTCAAGTTCTCTTTGTACCTTATGTTCAATTTATCCTGACAGAAAATAGGTCTTCACTCATTTTTACTAGCAATACTTTTTAAAAAAGCTGTTTATTGTCTAAGTGCATACTCACCAGAAGCAAAGCTATGGTCTTCTACTACACAGGCAGAGATTAATTTTCACATACTCACTGTTTTATTATTTTTTACCCAAAACAAAGGTTAAGTACTGCTCACATACAGCTATTTACAAGAAATTATAAAACTTACTATTTTAAGAGAACTCAACCTATCTCCTCCCTACCACTAACCTGTTTCACAGCTTTAAAAACAGATTTTTCTCAAATTTGCTATCATACTGAAATGCAAAGTATTCCAGCTAGAGAGCTGAAGTACCAGCATTTCTTTCTTTCTAACCCTAAGTTATAGCAACAAAATAAAAATCATAGCCATTCATTGCATCTGCAAACACGAACAGGTATTGCTCAAAAAAGTAATGTCAGTTTAAGAATATGATTAATTTGGTTACAATAGAGCTGGAGAGGACGCTGGCTTGATGCGAACAAATAATTGCATGAAATTTTCTTCTGGGTTTCCTATTTCTCCTGTATTATTAATCTTTCCTTTTGTCCAAATACGGTAGCACAATTGCTGCTTCAGCTTACAGATGCCTCAAAATAATCCTGTCAGGCACCAAGATGAAGGATAGACTTTGAAATCTATGGCAACTGACAGGTAGAAATATGGACAGAAGTCATCATGTCCAGTGCAAGCTCATCCTTTTACTGGGCCAGTTAAACAGACAATCTGACACAATAATAACACCTTTCATTTTTACAGCTAAAGAAGCTGACTATTGGAAGGAAAAATAAAACTTTTTCTCTTAATTATCAGATTGTTATGAAAAAGTTGCTTGTGTCGTGAAATCAAAGAACAGACAAGAACTTTCCAATTACACACAAGTCTACATTAGACTGTTCCTAATTAGGAGTTTAAAATGGAAGCAGTTAGCTGCTCTCCTCATTTACGCTTTCAATTCTTCACTACCAGAAAGAGTTTTATTTCTGAGAGTAGAAATGCATAATCTCTCCCTTCCAGCTGGTACCGAAGACCTATGTATTTAAATGTCACTGTATTGCTTAAAATTTTGATTCACATTTGTCTGAGAACTATTAATATGCCCTTTTACACCAAAAGAAAGTGTCTTGTAGGACTTTTCATGAACAATTCTTTCAGGCTACAAGTTAAACAAAGTATATAGGAAAGAATAAAGCAGAGGGAAATCTCACTCATGAGACTCAGTGAAGAGGACACCCAATGCTGACTTTAATTAAAAACTGCTGAAGGAAATTTTTGTCCCCCATATCATCTGTAATGAGGTTTAGGGATCAGAAGTTTAAAGGACATCAATGCTTCCCAGTGATTAATATGAGATAATGATTTGTTTAACTAATTATTTAGTAATTTAAAACACAACTTCCAGGTTTCCTCTTTATTCCTTCTTGTATTTCTAGAAGATAGTGTAGTACTTCCATCAAATGAAAGTGTAGCACCACTTTGCAATTAGAGTATGTCATTTTTAAGTGATACTTTTAACAAATATATGTGTCTCTATGTTTTAAATGTTAGCAACTGTTTCCACCTCATTATGAGAGTTTTATCTGCTCTCTAGTTCTGGGATATTTCAAGTAGTTGCTGGATCTGGGGTATAGGAAGCAGATTAAATGTATAATTTCCTCCTAAGGCTATTTTTGAAGGAGTTCACCTGAACAATTTGTGCATGCAGCAGGCTGCTCAAGCAAGTGCACTTTCATTAAAAATAGTGCTGGGTTCTACAATGGTTTGAAGATCTAGTATCTCAGGGGCAAACCCCAAGTTTCACAGTGAAGCATTATTTGCATTTATACTTGCTCCTTAGGAGATATTAAGACCAGAATATTTATAGCTACAATATTAAGTTCTCACATTCTGTATGTCACACTAAAAACCATATTTAATTCAAAGTCCTGACCAGAAAGTAGCTACGAATTGGGCACAAAATAACCACGCTTTTATTGCCTTAGCTGGTTGATGAACAACTCCAACTTTATCTGTACACTCCCAAAATTTAACATAGACAGAAATGTTTTTTATAATCTTGATATAAAAGACTAATGAAAACATTCTCAGTCCAGAAAAGAGCATTTTCCACATCCAGTAGCCTTGTAAATGGGCAACAGCATGGAAGGCACGTAATTTCTTCACAGAAGGGGTAGTCAAGCCTTGGAACAGTCTGCCAAGGAAAATGGTTGAGTCACCAACCCTGGAGGTATTTAAAAGATGTGTAGATGTGGCACTCAGGGACATCGTTTAGTGCTGGACTTGGCAGTGCTGGGTTAATAGTTGGACTTGATGATCTTAGAAGTCTTTTCCAAACCAATTCTGTGATTCTACACAAGTTTTTTCCCTTGTAAAAGTAATGAATCTTCACGATATCTCATTTAGTTGTAAGATCAGTAATGAAATTTCATCATTTAAATTTCAGCTAAAATTCCAAAGTAAATGCTCAGTTTTACCCCCAGGTCACTTGACTGTGGACTTTAGCAACTATTCAGGACCCATGAAAAATATTCCTTTTTCAAGAGCTTCATATATGGAATTATACTTTAAAATAGCAACATATTATCTTGTGTAATCACTGGAGAGTATAATAAATGAAGTCCAGAGTCACACTCTTTGTGATAGACAGCATTACTGACTCTCATTCCACCCAATACTTCTCATTCCTACCTATTAAGCCAGAAAACATGACAGAATTAATAAGAGCTGGTTACACTGCATGGAGACTTTCAAATCTGCTCATATTTTCTCCTTTTTAACAGTCTGAATAAAATAAAAATCATGTACACTTCAGCTGTCATTTGAACTGGTAAATTATTCTGGCATTCATTTCAAATAATAAGATTCATTATTATTCTGGCATTAATTTCAAACAATGAAAAATTCAGCCAAAAGTACACTTTAAAACTTTTACCATATACCAGATATAGACTTATCAGTCTTATAACACCTCAGTAAGTAAAGTATGTATTAGTTATATTGCAAAGTACTTCAAAGTTAATTTTTAAGACAGGGACCAGAAAAGCAACAATAATTTTAAACTAGGAATAAACTACATAGCATACAAAAAAATAAAGCCACTTAATTCTGTTTCATCTGAACATTGAAGCACAATACATGATTTGCAGTATCCCCAGCAGAGATGGAGCCCGACAGCAAGGCAGGAGTTAATAGATCAGTACAACCAGCCAGCCACAACGAGTCTTTCATAGAAATATATAACTAATAAATTGTCATTTGAGAGTGTCAGTTTATTTCCTGACAGCATGCACTTGTTGAAGTGCAAATGAGGCTCTTCAGAGTCCAATTTACAGTTTGAATTTATAATTTTATTCTGAGCTAGTAGAAGTTTAAACCTAGTCTAACATTTTTAAAATTTCATGAGATGCTTTCTACAGTAACTTACAGAAGTTACCTACCGAAATAAGGACAACTGGATATAAGAGAGGAATATCTGATTTTTCCAACATATGCACTAGTTGCTGGGTTTCTTGAATGGCACGCTTTTTATCCTAAATGAAAATAAATGTCTAGAATTATGGAAAACATCAAAACTATATAAAAAAATATCATAAAAAACTATGAAAATAGAACTCAAAGATCTGTCATTTACCAAAACAAAAAAAAAACAACCAAAAAAAACCCACAACAACCAAAAACTAACACATCACTTTTCTTGTTTAGGGATCTTTGGGTTGGTTAGTTGCGTGGTTTTACTATACAAATGTAATGGTATTGTTTGGTAAAGTTATAGCTGTTCAAAAAAAATGGAGATTAATAATATTACCCTTAAGAAATATCTACATATAAAACAAGATTAAGGGTCTTGATTGGTCTTAGATGTTGTTAACCTATGGTTCATGGGAACCTTCCTGTTCCCATACCGTGACCCAAATACAGATTGCATTGCATTGCATATGCCCAGAATGGGAAACACTAATTTAGACCATGGTGGTAATGCACAGTTAGATGACTACACATATGACAGACCTTTCTTTGAGAAAATTCACTTCAATACAACATCTACAAAAGGGAATCTTCAACTACTTTCAGTTTCATCCCTCTTGTTCAAGAATTCATGGCTGGTTTAACAACATAATTATGCTCAAAAGTCCAGTTTGGTGCACATCAGAAACATCAAACATTAAAATGGATGCAGTATGAGGACAGAAATAATAAACTTTATATTTACCATTACTAACAAGTTTAAGTGCAAAAGTAAAAGCATGCATCCTAACTGCTTACATTTACACAAACAAAATTGTAGCACTGTCCTGAAAAGATGCTTTGTAGATGGCTGACATTTCTGCTTTGAGATATTGATACAGCTTCAACCTGAAGAGACAAAAAAAGTCACAAATTTTAATTCAAGCCTTAACTCTCTGTTAAAGCTTCCATTATTATGGCAGAGTTTGTTCATTCAAATTATTCAAAAATGGCAATTATTATTTCCACCACAAGAACTCAAAATTTGCTCAGATTTTTAGATGGCTCAACAGTGAAGCATGGAGCCCAACCTGTGCTGAAGCATACTGCCAGGGAAACAGCAGAAGCAGCCCTGGAAGCATCAGACACAAGCTGCCCTGGGTTAGGATGTTCAGTTGTTATAGGATCAAGATGACCTAGTGATTTTAGATCTCTAATTCTAAGAAAAATCTCTATAATATTCAAATATCTAGATATTTTTATTTCATAAAGCTAAAAATAAAATATATTAAGTATGCATGAAAGACCAGGTGTACTGGTATTGATATTCTAGGATACAACAAGACTCATCTAGAGTTTCTTCTGAAAATATTTCCTCAATGAATTCTCTAAAATACTGTCTTAATCAGACACTTATTTTGCAACCTTTGACACAAGCTAAGAAACTATCTTATTCTAGTTAAAATAAAATGTAGATTGTACTACATTATCATCTTCAGGACTGCATTAAGTAAAATAGAAAACCAGGTAGTAGAGAGGGAATTTGTTCCCCAAGAGAAGGTAACACTTTGAAGCAAATAAAAAAATTTAAAAAAAAGTTTATATTGCTTCTAATAAACCAGCAAACTCCTCGTTCCACTGCTCATCTGAGCTTTTCTGGCCAAAAGACATATTATATATCACATCAAATGACAGAAGCAATACACTGCCTACACTACATCGAAATGTCACTTGATCCACAATCCAACAGAAGTACCAAATACAACATTTAAAATGGCTTTGCAATATTGTCTAAAGCTGTATTTGTTTATTTTTTTAATACTCAGGGAGTTAACTTTTTGCAAAGGAAGGTGGTTTCAAACCCAAAAGTTGGTATTTATGTCCTAAGGATTTCAGAAACATTTTGGGTTGAAAATTTGATTATATAGACCCAGATAGTTGATATTTAATATTTTTAGGGATTAAAAAAAAAAAAATCACAGAAGGTATGAATTACTTAAAAATACTTGAAAAATGCAATACTCCAGGGTTCTCCTGGCTTGAACCTCTGGAGATGTAAAATCAGAAACTCCTGGTACCTTTACAACCTTGCATTTACTTTGAGGAACAGGAGCATGCTGCATGCCAGAGTCTTTTCAGAAGGTATTTGGAACATGACCCAAAGCAGAAGGCCTACTTTTATTTTTTCTTTTGAGATATTATAATACATGATGCTTAAGTATTCCTGAACATTTAAAAATTCATATAGTCTATCAGAATTTTGATTTAACTTCACTAAATTGATAAAGTAGCAAACTAAGAATTTTTTTACAGACATATTTTCCAGAAAGAAATAAATCAAATTCCTCTGTTGGAAATTAGAAACTTCAGTAAATCATCAATTAACTAAAATTAATTCTTATTCTGTTTGGCATGTTAGTATCCTAAGCAAAAGTACTTTTTTTAAATTAAAATTCATATTAATCAGTTATCAGCTACTTAAGAGAGAAAAAAATTACCTAAAAATACTGCTGTGGTAAAAAGTGATTGTCACATAATGTTTCAGTGTTTAAATAGAAAAGAGCATATGGATTTGCTTAATTACTTCTGGTCCTTGTACCAATTGATATTCAGCTAGTTCAAGAAGCAAAGATGGTAAGAACATGAAGACAGGAATTATAAATGTGTTTTCTTTAATGTTTCTACTAATGTAATCTACTTATCAGATGCCCTGTGCTGAAGTTTCAACTTTATTCAGCATCCACTTTCATAAAATCTAACATTAATCCCAGGACATGGGGAAGCTGTAAAAGTTGTTTAAATTTTATCAGAATTTAAAATTACAATTAATACTAATCCAGCAGTTGGACAATTCAGTCATTAAGAAATTAGTGAATTTCTACTAGTGAAATGCCAGTTCATTTCCTACTTGAAAACAACCAGATATTTTTATATGCTGCTTGTGGATATTTATCCATTCGCAAAAACAACACACAACTTCATCCAGTTGATTACATTTCATGTGACAGCAGCACCTTGTCACTGAAAAAGCAGGAGTAATGTCTAGTCACAGAAAAAAACACCTTCAGCCCCCATTTAGGTTTGTTTGCTTTAAAAGAAAGGGCTAAATAACAACCTTAAGGAAAGATTCAAGTTATGTCTTTCAAAGTAACAAATCTGGAGCAAAACATTCATTCCTTAGTTATACTCCTTAGAGTAACTGTGATTAAAATACTCTTAAAGTATTTTGCAAGTAATAACTGCTTCCTTAAAAAATTTTTTAGAAAAGCTTTTATTTTCATTTCCTTTATCAGTTCAATTTTTAGGTCTTTTTTCCGCCTGCTGTTGGCATTATCATGTTATTAGAGTCTCTCTCAGAAATCCCTCTAACAAAATTTATTTTAAATTCTTCTTTAATGATACATATAGGAGTTAAGAAATATCTCAAAAGTAAATATGGCTGCTACTAAGAATTAGTGTCAAAACTGGCTGCTAAAACTAATTTAGCTTAAATTTCAGATAATATGTACTTTACTGAATGATTCCCAATTGGTCTATTGTTTAGATCAGTTACCCTCCAATTTGCCCTTTGAAAAGGCCCAGCTTTCAGTGCAGTACATTTAACTTGCTTAAAATAATTACCACACTGCACAAAATGAAATATCTCTCTCTCACAAGATTACAGTGATTCATTTAAGAAATCATAGGCCAGTGGATATCATAGAATCATAGAATGGTCTGGGTTGGAAGGGACCTTAAAGATCATCATTCCAACCACCCCACCATGGGCAGGCACAACTTTCACTAGACCAGGATGCTCAATGCCCCATCCAACTTGGCCTTGAACAGTTCCAGGGATGGGATATCCACAGCTTCTGTGGGCAACCTGTTCCAGTGCCTCACCACCCTCACATTAAAGCATATATCTAACCTACAGTTTCCCTCATCCAGTTTTTACCAATTACTCCTTGTGCTATCACTACAGTTCCTGACAAAGAATCCCTCTCTGGCTTCTCTGCAGGTCCCCCTCAGATATTGGAAGGTTGCTATGAGGTCTCCACACAACCTTCTTTTCTCCAAGCTGAACAGCCTCAACTTTCTCAGACTGTCTTTGCAAGGGAGGTGCTCTAGTCCCCTTATCAACTTTGTGACCCTCCTCTGAACTTGCTCCAATAGTTCCATGTGCTTCCTATGTTGGGGGCACCAGAAGTGTGACCCCAACACAATATTCCTTCTAAGGTTAGAAGTTCTGTATATGGGTAAGCTTATCAATTAACACTTAGCAATTTTATTGTTTAAAAACACAACAGAACATAATTTTTATAGATTTTAACCCTAAGGTTTCATTAAATGAATAATGAAGGATGTTTCATGGAACAGTGCTAGAAATCAACTAAATAAACTGATTTAATAGAGCCATTTAAAAAAAAAATCAGTCCTATATCAGTAGGAATCCCTTCAATTTCATGTCCTCATTACCTTGTGTGAGCTCATTTTACATGTCTTTTATTCAAACGCACCATTAGGTTCAGGTGCCTGACTCACCCAATAATTAACCAGTCATGAAATGAAAATTTGGCAACATGTTGTAAATTCTAACTAGTTCTGATCTGAGGTTGTTAAGTTCAAAGTTACAGTGTTGGTTATCAAACATTGATTTTTCTTACTGGCTTGGAAGTGCTACTCATGGTATGATCAAAGGGGGTTATATGCAACCACAATTAACAGATATAGATAAGTCAACACTTAAAGAAGTATATAAGTAAGTGATGTCTTCCTACTAATTGCAGAGTAGTTTATATGGAGAGAAAAAAGAAGAAATAACAACGGAGTCGGCGTCAGTGAAAGGGATACATACTTCTGCTCCATTATACAGTTATTCAGACAAAAAAAGATCTTATTGAACTCTGCTAATGTTTTAGACTTATAAATATAGTATTTCATAGATATAAAGCATGATTCCATACTAAATATAACTGTTTCTAAACAAAAACTGTAAGTGCAACGTCAAATTGACATTTCTAGATATAAAACAGCAATACAGTTAGTATTCTAATTAGTCATTCTACAATTAGTCATTCTAATAACTAAGTACGCTATGCAGAAGATCAACACACATGAATACAACCATTACAGAAGTAACACTATGAAAATCAGGAAACCTGTGTTTTTGAATGACTATTCCCTGTCAGTTTCTCTGGGTAATAGACAGATGTAATATCATCACAGAAGATACAACTAAAAATCATTCCAAGACCAGTCAAAATCTAACCAACTACCAAATGTTAATCACCTGTGGGAAAAACAGAAATATGATAGTTCTATTAGAAGGAATAATGAAAAAGGAAAAAGATAGTTAAATGACAGTAGAAAATTCCATCAGTATCCTAAAGCAAAGGCTTCCATGAGCATTCACTGTGAGTGAAACGTACCCCTAGGACTCTACAAAAAAGCTCATTACTTTGATTTTGCACTTGCAGCTCTGCAGGAAAACAACTTACTCTTTAATTGGTTCAGACTTTAACTTCAAAGTAACAAAAACATTTCCTCTGTAACATATTTGTAACAATTTGGGCTTACTGAATTCATAAAATCTAAAGAAAATTGCCTCTTTGTTGTCTGGATTCAATTTCTCCTCTAATCTAATATATACTTTCTAAGTGGATCTGTAAGATCCCCTTCTACTGCAAAACTGGGCAGAAGATGCTTCTCTCTTGGTAACTTCCACACCTGGTGTTAATCTCTTGTAATAAATACTGCAGTGACACAGGAAGTCTCAGTTTCTGCATTCACATTATGTAGACCATTTCTTATGAGTAATGGCAACCAGAAACATTAAATTAATCATACAGTTGAAAGCCATAGAGTTGTACTTACTTTTATTTGACTTTTCAGAGATTCAGGAAGGAGGAAAACCAACTTGTGCAACAGTTTCATTTGCATCGGTAATAACACAAACTTCTTGTGAAAGGTTGTCTGTGATCGAGAAAAAAACCTTAGTATTTCATGCAAAAATAAATCAATCAAAGTTACCAATTTGCTAAACATTACCTTCAATCCATATTGCTGTCTCTTGATAGAACCTTTTCAACCGCTGTAAATTTAACTACTTATTCCAAGGTACAGTTAATCTAACTACATCATTTATATAACATACATTTCAAATATTCAAGTTATATTTTTATGATTTTGCACAACGCGAAATCATCTCATGAGGCCTGTCCCCAGAGCCCATTTAAATAAGGGACTCCTCTTACTAGATATTTTTCGGGTCCATATTAATGACGCTAGATGACAATCATAGAATCACCGGGTTGGAAAGGACCGCTGAGATCATCAAGTCCAACCCTTGACCCACTACCACCATGGTTACTAGACTATGGCACAATCAAGAAAACACTTTTAAATTTCATATGACTTATCACTTCAACAGATCACTGAATGCAGTTATCAGCAATATTGACAAAAGAAAAGAAAAAAAAAAGCAAAAAACCAAGGGATAGCATAAATTTACTTCCCAACAATATGCACTACAAAACTGCCCCCAAAAAGTATACTGAAAATCCTGTTCAGGGAGACAGCAGATATAACTATTCACCTCAACATCAAAGAGGTTGAAGAGAAGTGACAAAGATCTTGGAATGGCCAATTGCCTAGATCTTTTATTGGTGGGGGAAAATATAGTATTTTGTCGCTATCAAGTTTCAAGTTACTGCCTGATCTGTTCTGCAAAGCCTGTAGTTCAGAAAATTAGTATTTTCTCTAGTTAATGGTTAGAGGTATTAGATTTGGTGAGCATTTTCCTTTCTTTAAGCAAACAAGTCAAAATAATTAAAGTCTGAAATTCTCAGCTGTAATTCAGAAATTTATCCTTCAGATGCTGAATTATTACGCAGAGCAAAATATAGGATTTCCAATGCTTTTGGGGCAGCTGCTGCATAAGTAAAGAAAAATTTCACAAATGTAAAGTCTAATTATGTTTAAAGAAGACTTCAATGAAACTTCAGGGACAGAAATATACCAAACACCACCACAAAATAAATTAGTAGTGAAAGACATAAGAGAAATTATAAAAATATGGTCTAACTGCTCTTCAAACAAGTCTGAATATAAGGATACATATTTTTTGCATGTGGAAAGGTTTTTTATAATTACATACCACACAGTAAGTTCATTCAGATGCATTACTTAAGTAAACAACTCACTTTCTACTGTAAACTCCAAGACTTCTTTACAAAAATAGGCATTAAGACCTGAAAATTAATTTTAAAGCTGTTGTAGAGTTAACATTATTGGAAAGTGTCTTGTAACTTTCAAGCAATTTTCTGTGAGCAGGAAAAGTGAATTAACTGCTGAGAACCACGGAAGATAATTAGAATGATTTTTTGAATCATGGGTATTTATTATGCCGAATATTTATAAAGTGACAACAAAAACAGTGGTAGCAATTGACTTCATATTCAGTTAGCAAGAATGGGGAGGGAGGAAGAAAGAGAATAATCAACATCTGCTTATAAACCATCACAACCAGATGAAAGTGAGAATTAAAAAAATGCATGGCCAGTTCTCACAGGACTGGAAATCACAGGATACCACAACTGTGGGAGAAATTATCTTCCCATAGATTCACTAGGCAAAAAAATATATTGAACATGCATCACAGTTGTCTTCTACTTAATACAGAATAATTTTACCATCTGAAAAATGGTTCAATAGGAAATCATATTGAATTAATTTCTTATCACCAGAAAGAAACCAGTGGGTAGATTTAAATCAGAGCAAGAGTCACTTGAATTTAGTACTGTATATGGAATGCAGATACAAGATAGATATACATAATAAACCAGACTGGTATATCAGATTTCAAGAACTCAGATTCTATTGAACTAAGTAATTTAATGAAGAAGGTCAGATTGGAACTATTACAAAAATGCACATGTGGAAGAAGGCTGTGGAACCCCAAAAGGCACCATAACTTAGGCTTAGACAGTTCTTTTAAAAAGAAGTCTGTAATCAAGTGTCAAAAGTAATCTCTCAAGAGGCTGCTCAAAGACTGAAGTTATAAAGACCCATTCCACTCACCTCTTCAGCCCTCTTAGACCTCTAACTTCCTTCAATAAATGAGAGAGGCAATTACCAAAAAAGTGACTGACATATGCATGTTGGATTTAAGAAAGACAGAGAAAATTCAACGAAGTGTGGAAAAACGTATTTTTAGTCTGGAGAAGGAATGTAATGTTCTAAGGGGAAAGTCTATTATAAAAGTATGAGAACATTAAAATAATGATAATACACAAATTGAAAAGATACTCCATGCTTTTAAATGATCAAGGAAGTGTATAAAGGAAGGCTAGGAAATCATCATTTGTAAAGTCAGCATAGCAAAGCAACAGTTATGTTCTAGTTGAGGTTTGAAACTCATCTCTCATTTAAATCCAAACTATTTCAAGTGGTCAAAAAGAATATCGGTGTTAATTTAGACAGTTTGTACCTTTGCTGCATTGAGGGAAGGAAGACTGAGTGGAACCTTCCTCCCCAAGACTGCCTGTGTCCCACCTCTGGTAAGCTGATGGAGCTCTGTCACTCAATGTAATCATGCTGAACACAGCAAGCACATCTGGAGTGCTGGCTGGTAACTCGACAGATTCCATGAATTCTGCTGCCTGACAGTAAAGCTAACTGCATGCAGCATTTCATTCCTGGTTTTCAGAATTCTATCTGAGTGAACGAAACAGCCATTTTGGAAAGACACCTCCTGGCCATGCCACAAAGAATTTTAATACTCAGCTAAAAACATTTTGTTTTCCATCAGACCATGGATAATTGAGGCTGGAAGGGACCTCAGAAGGTCTCTAGTCCAAACTCCTCCTCAAAGCAGGATCACCCATGAGGTTAGGCCTGGTCACTCAGCCCCTTGCCCCTCCCACACTTGAAAAACTTTGAAGACAGAGACTGCACAACGTCTCCAGGAAACCTGTTCATTGCTTAATTGTCCTCATGGTGAAAGAGTTTCTCCCTTTTATTGAGTTGGAACTTCACTTGGTTCAGTTTTTATCTATTAACTTTTGTCCCCCTACAATGTACAACTGTTCTACTTTACTTCTCTACTTTTCTGCCATAATTTCCTTTTCATCCACCAAACCATTTTTTTTGTTGTTCTTTTCTCACAATTGCATTACATATTAAACTCTCTATCTTGCTTTGGCTTTCTTGTCCTCTACTTACTTTAAACTATTATTTCCCTGGAAACCTCCTCTCCCAATACTCCTCTCCCATTAACTCTTAGCTTCTTTCCAGCTGTACCTGATTATGGAGTTATGTTCCCCATCCACATGCATCACATTCGATCTAATTCGTCACTTTTAACATCCGCTCAGGGCATATTTTTTGCATAATATAAAAAATAGTTAAAACTTTGCACTGCCAAATTTAAATACTAAATTTCCCTATCAGGAATTTCTTTTTTCTTTCATTAAAGCTAAATCTGATAGAGAATTTCAAAATTTGTTCTACTACACCTCCTTCTTTTTATCCTCCATCAGAAAAATTAATTTTCAAGTTTTCCATGCCCCTCTTTGATATTCTGATAAGGACCTGCCATGGTCTTTATCCTAGGATCCTACCCAATTAAACACACATTAAAATGTGTGCATGTTTATGGAACTAACTACCTTAGTTAGTGTATTAAGTGTATTTAATACTTAATGAAAGACTAAAAATATGTAATGAAAGACTTAAAAGTTTACCCCGAAAAGCATGCCACAAACAAGAAGCAATTAAAATAATACTTTGTTTGAATAAAGATCATAAGTATCATATCCTAGGGATTTAATGCCGTAAGAAAAAAACGCATCTGAATGGCAAATAGGTTTTAGCCTACAGACATAATTTTTTTCTCTTAATTGCACATATATGTGTATACATATACTTGGTTTTGCATACATATGCTCATATCACATCATTATTGTTCTACCATTACAATTCCTACTATTTTGGAAGCACATCCTACTTATCAAAATTTTGAAGTTTGCAGTGAATTCAAAGAAATAAATTAATTTACCAGAATCCCATTTTCACTTTCTACATAGCAATGGCTTGACTGGTCTGGAAATTCAATATGGTTCCCCCTGGCATCTTTAGAAACATCTTTGTTATGAGATGCTACTCACTGTAAACGTAAGAAAAATTAAATAAATACTGCCGAGCATTTAGTTCATTCCTGCTCAACAGAATGAGTTTAAACTGTTATCCAAACAACATAGGTAACCAAAAATATCTAACTTTTTTTTTTTTTTTACCCACTCAACATGTTTCTGGAGCCCCAAAAACTAAAAGTCAAACCTGACACTGCCCCTACCAATATTTGTATACAAGAAAGAAAGTAAGATTTTGTGGTAGAAGACAAGAAAGGGGCTTATTTCCTCCTGACAGTAACTATTCCAAGGAGCATCTCCCCACCTGCCAGTCTATTGCTTTGCCTCACAGCAGAGAACAGCCACTGGTTTATGAGCATGCCCACGAAAATGCAGCCTACGTCATGTAAGATCTCTGTCCTTTGATAAACAATGCTTACCTCAATTTTTATTTTTATAAAAAGTCACACAATTTCTTCACAGAACACAAATCATAATATGTAGTTCTCAAGAGTCATAAACAGTTTGAAAGCACTAAGATATTTTTCTTGGCACTTGCAAAAACATAATTGTACCTACATCAACAGACACTTCTTTAGCCAAATGCAAGGGCAAAATATCCAATTTGCAAGTGAAGTCTCTCGAGAAAAAGTCATTGAAAAAGAAGGGCCCTTAGAAAAAGGAGGAGAGTGAGTCAAACTTAAGTTATAAACTTCTACTGAGAAGTACTATTTAAAGTTTACATGTTGGAACTAGAGTTTGAAGATACCTACCCTGAGGGCAGTAGTCCTAATGGAATTTTTTTAGGATGTTTTGTATTAACCTGATCTTAACTACATTTCTAGATGAGTCACACTTATTGTAAGACAATGTTTTCTTTCTTCAAGACTATTAAAAACAGGCGTGTGCCACCTTGTCTGCATACTCTACAAGTTTATACCTGCTTAACTAAATAAAAGTATTACATTTGCTGTTTATAAAACAAATGATGTTAGAATTCAAACTTTCATAATACAGTTATAAAAGAGACTGGAGGAAGTTAACAAATTATTAAGAAATGTTTTAAGAAAACAGTCTCAAAAAAAAAAATTCATTAGTCTATTTACATTAGTGAAATGTTTCTTTGTATTGCCTTAAATAACAATGATATATATACATATAAATATCTAAAGTACAAAAATGTATTTAGGCATGTATGTTTTTCTTATTTCCATCTGAGTCAAGTTTAGCAAGGTGAAAGTTGTTGAATTGTTGAAGGAAACCAAAAGTTTCAATGACTAATAAATATAAACTGTAGATTACATGAAATTTGGAACTGTAGTCACAACATTAAATGCATACACTCCAAAGTTCTTCATCACTACTGAATTCATCCAGTGACAAAATGTGCATCCAGCACAGTAAATTGGGTAACTTAGTAAGAAAGAAATCAGTTGTGAAGACTGCAACAGTAGTGTGCATCTGGTGTGAGGCCCAAGCCCTTTGCATCCTACACCCTCCTAGCCCATACATTTAGCTTCTGGGACATCTCCAGAGAACCTTGGCAGTAGGCAAGGTGGCCTTCCAAGAGCTCGTACTTTTCAACTCAGCTTCACAGAGTCATGCAGGACTTCTCCTTCAGGCTCTCTACATGGCACAGAAGGGGAATGACAAGTAGGAGTGCATCACTTACAAGGGCATGTAGTGACAGAACAAGTGGAAATGGCTTCAAAATGAGAGTAGGTTTACATTATGTATTAAGAAGAAATTCTTTACTCTGATGGTGTTGAGGCACTTAAACAGGTTGCCTGGAGAAGCTGTGGATGCCCCACCCCTGGAAGTATTCATAGCCAGGTTGGATGGAGTCCTGAGCAATCTGATCTAGTGAAAATTGTCCATGTCCATGGCAGGGGCTTAAAACTAGATGATCTTTAAGATCTCTTCCAACCCAGCCCATTGTATGATAGAGCACCATGTAGTGTTTACTGAAGTCTCAAGAAAAGCAGACACTGTGATAGTCAGTTACTCAGCCTGTAGGAAAGGCCTGACTGAGAATGCCTTGCCTTGTAGGATGGTTGCCATTCTCTAGGGTGACCTATCCTTGAAGGTCTCCTGCAGGCACGGCACAACACAGTAGAACAAGCTAATAAAATTCTTCTCTAAAACTAACAACCATGAGATTAAATGATGCCACATGGGGGTACATCAGAATTATCCTCAAAATGACAAAAATATATTCTCCCCTTAAATATTCTTAAAGTGTGGCATGAACTGTGAATAAAGCACCTGCCTAATATTATTTACATGGTTCAACTGCCTACTACCAAAATAAGTCATGTTATAACCACATGAAGCCTTTTGAAGGGTGCAAAATAGATAAGGCACAACTCTCAAACTGCAGCCTTGGGGTACTAACAGTGCCATTTCAAAACCCCAGTAAAGATAACTAATTCTGTAACATAACTCTGTTATGTAGTGTCCTAATTTGCTATGGAGGACTCATTATAAGGCGCAAAGAACACGTGCAGCTTCTCCTTCCTGAACTCATGATATGCAACAAGAAGCAAATCTAAACTTCAATGATCTTGAAGGACCATTTGTCATAAACACCAGGCATAACAAGACTCCTGTGGTTACTGAAGCAGATATATTGCATGCTGCCACAGCAACAGAACACTAGATAAGTAGGGATCAAGTAAGGGATTAGCCTGATTGGCTACCATGAAGGTCTTCATTTTTACTTTAAACTACACAAACTTTTTATTATAACCAACAGCTGGAAAAGAGTGTACTGGCTTCATGGAAAACAAAAAATGTGATAACATGATGAAATACACATCATATAAAATATGTATCTTTGAAGAGAATGTCTGGTCATTTACAGCATTTTTTCCTCCGGTTATAAATAGAAACAGTTAGTGAATGTTTCTTTCATTCAAATAAGCTGCATTCTCATTTTCTATTCAAGCAGTTATAGAAAAGCTGCTTGAAATATATCTTAATTTTAAAATAAATTATAACTGATCTCATTTAATGACCTATGAGATTACTGAAGCCTTTGTATATACAGGAACATGGAAATACACTTGTTGTTTCAAATTTATAATTTTTTGAACACCACTGAGAAAGGGTCTGGCTTCATGTTCTTCACTCTGCCCCATCTGGTATTTGTACACACTGCTATGATCCCCCTGAGCCTTCTCTTCTCCAGATAGAGCAGTCCATCCTCTCACAGCATCTCCTCATATGATAGACATTCCACTACCTTAATTGTCATGATGGCCCTTTGCACGACTGTCTCCAGAATGATCATGTCTTTCCTGCTGGGGGAACCCAACACTCCAGATGTGACCTCACCAGTGCTGAGCAGAGGGAAAGGATCACCTTCCTCAACCTGCTGGTCATGCTCTGCTCTACTGTAGCCCAACGAGCTGTTGGCCTTCTTTTCCCCAGGACCACATTGCCAGTTCCTCTTAGATTTGTTTTCCACCAGGACCTCCCAGGGCCTTTTCTGCAGAGCTGCCTTCCAGCCAGTCAGTCCCCAGCTTTGAATGGTGCTTCTGAAGAGCAGGAGCTTGCATTTCCCCTTGCTGAACTTCATGAGACTCCTGTTCACCCATTTCTCCACCTTGTCAAGGTCCTTCTGAATGGCAGCACAACCACCTGGTCTATCAACTGCTCCTCCCAATATTACATCATCTGCAGACTTGATGAGGCTGTGTTCTGCCCTGTCACTCAGATCATCAGTGAAGGTTTTAACTGGTGTTGATCCCTAGGGTAGACCACTAGTAACTAGGCTCCAGCTGGAATTTACTCTTTGAGCCTGACAGTTCAGCCAGTTTCAATCCATGTCCACTTTTCTGGTCTGTAATTCTCGATGAGAATGCCATGGGAGATAGTGTCAAAAGCCTGGCTGAAATCAAGACAAACCCTATCCACTGCTCTCCAATTATTTCTACATTTCATTGCAGAAGGTTTGTCAGGCATATGTAAATTCATGTAAACTAGTCCTAGTCACCTTCTTGTCTTCAATATGTTTGGAAATCCTAAGCTGAAAAGCTAGGAGTGTGGAACCTCTAAGAATCCTATACAAAACAACATTTTCAAAAATTCCAGGCTTCTACCTATGAAGACAGAAGCTCTTCATCTCCTGTTAGAACCAGAACTTCCAAGGCTTCCCAGTCCTATCTTCTTTTGTGCCTAAAAAACTCAGTCAGGTGGTTCTAAAAATGCATATAATATGTGGTCTTCGCCCACTGTAATAACCAAAAACTTCAAATGTTGCATACCTGGGGATCTAGATAAGCAGCATAAGAGAATACCACAGCAATGTCTGAGCTCTATTTAAGCTTTCTAGTTTGTCTGTAGTGACAGAGCTGATCTCAGCATCTTCTGATTTACCCAAATCAGAAGCTAAGCCATTATGGGACCTTGTAACAACAGGTGAGACACCGAAGTGAACAATGTTCACTTGATGTCAGTGAGCCAGTCACTCACCATGCCCTAATAGCGCACGAGTTTTGCTCTAGTTTTCTTAAATAGGAGCTACATTCTTTTCTCTGGAAAGTTATTTTTAATCCAAAGGTAAGTCCCTTTCTCTTGATCAGTTTCTGCAGTTTTATCCCTAAGTTCTCAACAAGGAGTCAGGTAAGAGTCCATCGAATCACTGCCTATCAGTTTACAATAACCATCGGTGTGCTCATTAAACATGCATTAGTTGACAGTTCTTCCTTTCCATATTGACTCATTCTAAAAACAATCTAGATGAAGGCTAAATCCAGTCTTTATGTTAAACTGCTATGAAACCACTATTACCAGTACATAAATATGTTAAAAAACAGTTCAACAAAATACTTATAAATTAATTAAATTTCTCAATATCATGTAGTTGATGTAGTAATTTAGGTAACAACTGGCTGTATGTAAGACAGTGAAGAGCCCTAAAGAGTTACTGTTTAATTTTCAGTCTACTACTTAGATGAGAAAGATGGAACATTTTCAGAATTGGTCTGCAAAGCAAAGAAAAAAATAAATTGTTTATTCCTTATAAAGCCATTCAAAATTAATCTCTGTTTGTCTGTAATATACACAGCTTTTTATAAGGTTCTCTATTCTAAGTGAAGTAAATAAAGGTAAATATGCATAATACAAGTATTCCAGTGAACAAGCTAAAACAACTTGCCTCAGCACATTTCATCCATCACAAAACCTTCCTTAATGACATTTCAAATTATAGCACACAAGATTCTTAATTAGACTCAGGAATATGCAAACTGACAGTCACAAGGACAAACACATACCCTTAATAATCGATTCAGCTGCATACAGATCCCGCTTGTAGGTCACCTAAAGGACAGACAAGCCTCATTAGTTTTAACCCAGCAGGAAGGAATGCAAAAGTAATAAAACAATGCCCTGAAGGCAATTCTTTACATTTTAAATACCATAAACAAATGATATTGTCAATTTCTTAATTTTGGTAAAATATCACTGGCAAGTTATAAGAACAGAGGTTGCCAAAATTACTGGAGACCTGAGGAAACTTAGTGTTTAAATACTAAGATCTGCTTACAACTCATTTGAAACCTAAAACTATTTTCAATTCTTTGAAGAATCATGAACACATGATATTGCATCTATTTTCACACATTCATTTTACTTAAATGTTATTGCAAAAAAAATTCATTTTTAATAGGACTTGAGATCATACAAATGACAACCAAGGAGCAATACAGTTATTATTTTTACTAATATAGGTGCAATTTTTCAGTAGTGCAAGACAATTACTGTTAATGAGACTCCAATTAATCAGTGGGAGTCAGTGAGACTACAAGGAGGCTTTGTGTGAGCTTTCAGAGAATTAAAAACCAGCAAGGTATTCATCAGATCAAGTTAGATGGACAATAAGATGCTGAGTATTTACCTGGTACTTGCAAAATCACCTTTAATATCTGCCTTTGTACCCTCATGGTGGCTGACAGCCCCAGTAACAGGTTTTGCAATTAAAGTAATGGAAAATTAAAGACAGTATCTATCCAAGACATTACCAGTCTTTGCTAGCAATCTCTTCACAATGACATACAGTGACTTGTACTGACATAACTCTTTAATATTTACATTTGGTTTCACTGTAACTTCCTTTTATGTTACATAAAATTTTATTGGATTTTCTGCATTTGTTTCACTAGAGTCTGAAGAACCTTTTTTCTAAAAAGGACCTGCATAGGATGGATTCCTCTTTGCAGCTCTAGTGCTGCAAAGTAAATCTTACACCAGAAGGACACCACTGTAGGTATCAGCATCCCAGTCTCCAAATAAGTGATTTTTTGATTTTACCATAAAGATTCTTGTAGCCACTTTCCTTTTGATCTCATAAATGAAGCTCTGTATTGTAGTCAGAAACAGATAAATAATATTACCTTCCTCATCACTTCCCCAAGGCATTATATTCTTTTTAAATTAAAAACTAACTTACTTCCATACAGTTTGTCCTGCAGAGGAAGCAGCGAGAGAATGAATCTAGCCTGAGAAATCCTAGGTGTCTGACTTTACATACAAACATTTACATGTCTACTTACTGTTGGGAAGAATCAACGTCTTGAAATTAATTTTAAGGATAAGGAGTGACCGATTTTGTTGCAAAGTTTCTTTATATTAAGTTTTCAGAGTGCTTTTACACTGAACTTTCAGTAAAGTGTAACAGATTATCAACTAAAAACCTTTCAAGAAACAAAACTAAGGTCTATCAGAAATGGTCTCACATACACTAAGGTTCACAATCTCTTTGAGGTGCAAAAGTACTTTTAAATAGTCTGATTTTAAAAAAAAATATTAGGTACAGTCTTCAAGAAAACAGCAGAAAAGAATAAAAAAGTAAGAATGAACCTTTAAAAAAATCCCCTCTGAAATTCTGAGCCAGACGTCAGTAAATACTTTTTAGAGTGGCTTCCTAAAGAAATAAATCATCTGAGACTGTATCCCATTCTCCATATGTATTTCTTTTATTATCTTTGATCCTCTAAACTAATTTCAGTTTAAGCTTTAAGAAAATAGTAAAGTTGACAGAAAAATCCTGCCAGACAGCACAGGTGACCACCATTTACCAGTCGGGGAGCGAGAGATTCTCTACCCCCCTTTCAATAATGACTAAGATGCTAAAATCAAACCAAAGTTTCTCTTGAATATTCACAATGCTTCTGGATTTTCTTGTGTTGATTAAGACATGTTCTTGCAATTTAGCTAATACTTACTCAAAGAGGCAGACAGCCATGGCAGATACACCCTTTGGTTTAAATCAAATCACTGATTATTTTAGTATGAATGTGCTTCAAACAATTTAGGAGATTAGTCAACACAACAGTTAATTGTCCTGGGCAGCTGTACTGTTTTACCTCTAGTTTCACTAAAGAGGATTTGCATTCTAGGCTCACCCCAGATGGAAGCAATTTAGATTTAGCCAAATCAATGAGGAAGAATATTTTGACACTCTATACTAAGGTAGCATTATTCACTCTTCACAGGTGAGGTGCAAAAAATCATGGCGGGGGGGGGAGGAGGGGAACACATGGGGGAGAAGCAAAGCAAGAAAAATGATGCATGGAATTTTTCTTTCTGGAAGACAGATTTCTACTTCATCCATTTCTGCCTTTCTTCTATCACATTACTAATCTAAATCTACATACTTATAAAATTTAATTTTTTTTTTTCATACTCATCTCTGAACATTCCCTATTTATCAACAGTTGCTCAGAGCCTGGGTCTGGATTTTACTATAGTATTCTAGATGCATTTGTAATACTAGAACATTTCTAATTTCATATTCTTGTTTCTATATCAATGGCTGACATAAAGTATTTTGCCCATATATAGCAGAAACTTGCTATCCTCTGTGATTTCTAAACCACTTTAAAAGTCACTGCCTTCCAAGAACAACTCTCTAAATATGACCTATACTTGGTTTGTTTCTAAAAACACTTCTAAATATTTGGCTGCAATGAAAAGCACACCTTTTATTTAAACTGTTTGCTATACAATCCTTAACAATAGGTTACTTCTGATCAATTGTATTTTTATTTACAAATCCTTAAATCATTGTCTGCAAAGTTTATCAGACAGATATTAAATACCTTAGAGACAATAACAATTTCTACAGAACTGTATATGGTGCGAATTATCTTTTGAAACATATCAATGATCTAATGTTTCATCTATTTAATGAGAACTAGTACAATTACAGTCATCCTATTATTAATTAAGATGCTATGCAGTAACAAGTCAAACTCCTGCCAACTGTGTGTTGTATCAGTATTACCATCTTTATCAGTCAAAATCATAATCTTGTAATAAAGTCTTGAAGTCAATTTCACAAAGTAAGTAAATTCCATATTGGTTGACACTAATTGCATTAGTTCCTTAACTCTTTATTAATCAAGTTGTGCCCACAGAAGCATACCCTTTTGTTTTCTTGATCAATATCAAACTTACAGGCTTCTAATAACTCAGACTCTCACTCCTCATGTGACAATACTATTATTCATTTTTTCCTCTTGAAGATCCAGTGTTCCGAGATTTTTAGAATGTAGTTGATGCAATTCAGAATATCAAATTCTGAAATTCAGAATATCAAATTCTGCAACTCAGAATATCAATTCAGAATATCTTGACCAAATACTAGAACTCAACACAAATACCTCACTGTCACAGAATATGAAAACATGACTTGCTTATTTAGCAAAGGCAGAACAGTCTTACTAATTAAACATATCTCTACTTTTCTGTATCATAAACAATCTATTTTATCTATTTAATAAAGCCTCAAAATCATGAGACAAGAGGTTGTTTTGTTTTGTTTTCCCCTGTACCCTTCTCTCTCAACTGTCATACTACAAGTTTTCACTACCTAGAAAGATGTACTTTTACAAGTTCCCCAAAGTTATTCCTATTCAATATTTAAAAGTCTTCTTCGTACTAATTTAGCTTGATGAACACTTCAGATTTACAAAACTGTAGAGTAAATGCAAAAATATAACTCTTTACTGAACAAATACAATAAAGTTACAATCACACATACACAAACTGTACAGCATTTTAGCTTAATGAAGTTTTTCCCTCTCTTATACTAAGATATCATACAGATCTCCTTCATATGCAATATTTCTGTAGGATTATAAAATAATCTTGTTTTTTAGAAATGGTGGGGATTTTTCGCTCTGTCAGCATTAAGTCTATAAATCCATATCAGTGTTTTAAAAATGTTCTTACACTGATTTTTTCATCTGTGTTATACTCACATATATATATTAGAGTCCAACAAATACATTCTGTTGATTTCATACGTAAAGAGCACATTGCCCCAGAATATTTAAGGTAATTTTGCTTCAAAGGTGGCAAGCACAGAGAAACTGAAAATGTGGTGTTGATATTTTCATTCTGTTTCCTTTTTTTTTGCCATCCGTATCCCAATATCTTATAAATAGCTATGTAATAACTACTTTTAAAATAGAATATATAAATATTTATAAAACTAAAGTAATTTGAATGTTAATGCTTGGTTGTTGTCACTACAAAGAATTATTTTAATTTTGCAATTTGTTCCCAGAAAGTAAATACACTATGTCTTGCTTTAGCTCCAACAATGACTTTGAAATGTTCCTTTTCCTAATGTACAAGTAGACAGTGCTCAGGTAGAGTAATCAGTATTAATTCAAGAAGACAACATATAAGCAGACATAACTTTTTCCCATAGGCTTGAGTCATTTACTGTTATGTAGCTTGTGCACTTAGTAAATAAACTGAATTCTTACAAATATCTGATGTGCGCTTTAAAGATTCAAGATCCTCATAGGATGACATGGTTTGTAATATTTGAACTTTAGAAACTCTCCTCCACCTATTAGTTGACAAGAGATTTTCAGTTACACATCCTCTGAAACCTCAACTGAACAATCATTTGTTTCAGTTCTTATTTATCTGGATGGAATATCCTTTTGCCTCATGTTGAAAAAATAAGAGTGGGGCCATTGGGAGCACATCAGTTCTTGGCATATGAAATACCATTTATCTCAGCACTGAAAAACCTAACAGAAAAAAACCAAAAATATATTACAAATTACACTATTAGACACCTAAGGAAAGACAGTTGTGTTTCTGAAACATGATTAGTAACAAACAGTAACAGTTCCTAACTATTTTGCAGGCAAGGACCACTTGAGAAAAGCAGCAGTCTTGTGCATTTTGTCAAACTGCACAGACTGAGCACAACTGTTCTCTTCCTGAATGGTACTGCTCCAAGTCACCTGCCAAACACCTCGGTACAGACTGACCAACACCTGGGGGCTATTCAAATAGAAGAAGCTATCTTCCTCCATACTTTCTAATCTAATAAAAGTATTTTCTGCAGAAACTATGTAATATTTCACAGACCTTCTCATGTTTACGCCTTTGACTTTTAATGTCTCCACTAGCAGCAAAAGACACCAATGACTTTTAGCTACAAAATAAGACACAGGAATAGGGTATGAGAAGGTACAGATACTATAATGACACAGCACCAGCACCTTTGTGCATACCATACATGGCACATTCACTGCTCTGCACCACCTGCAGCACAAGATCTGCACAGAAATGGGTGCTCTTGCTACGGTCGCACTCTGACAATACTGTCAGCACTAGGACTCTTTGGTGGGTGACCTTGGTTGGACCCCAGGTGTCCACCAAAGCCACTCTGTCACTCCCCTCTTCAACTGGATAGGGGAGAGAAAAATCAAACACAAATAGCCCAGCAGAGGGCTGCTAAAATGGTGTGAAGGAACTTGGCTTGTTCGGCCCAAAGCACAGGAGAGAAAGGGTGGGGAAGGGCCACAGAGAACTAAATGAACATTTTATAAAGAGCTAAGTGAACACTATTGGTGTACTTTGTTACCCTTCATGTAAGTACCATGCCTTACAATGAGACCAATGAAACCACCCAAAAAATTATGTCATGTAAATATGCATGACATAATCTGTCCTTTAGAAGACTAAATAGGAAAAGAGACCATATATTGTTTCAAAAAGACTATGTCCCAGCAAGATATCGGAAGAAGTTTCTGTATGCAACCAATGCACAAGTAAATTTTGCTGTTAAATTGCACAGGAAATTTGCACTGCAGACTCAGGAAATTACCTTTCTTTGTAAGATTTATGGTCATACTATTAGAAATCATGTCCCTTTGGAGGAAATTTACTGTCAAAGATAGATGGAGTGATTTGAGTTGCTTCCAGATCCTTCAATGTGGTAATGAATAAAATAAAACAAACTCTTAAAAATTCCATGACACAACAGCTACTGAGAAAGAATAATGTCCCACCACTCAAAACAATGAAATACAATACTTCCAAGCAGCAGGGATATATACTTTGGCACCTCTACACACACCTGCTTAGTTAGTCATCAGGAACCTCCAGATTACCAGACAAGGTGAATGATGTTTAAAAATTTTTTAAAGATTTTTTTAAGAGATCTTAAATATTACACTGTTACTGAATGTAATGAATTACTCTAAAAAATTGGTGATAGCCAGGTATTTGGCATCAGAGAAAGAGTGATATCCTCATAGGAGAAGTGGAGAAAAATAGACCAAAGTTATAGAAATAGCAGGAGAAAGTTCATATCATAAAAGAATGTTCTTAGTTTTGGAGACTATGGATTTATAATTTTACAGATTGTCAGGTTATTCAAATACCTAGTTGGTTTTCCAACTTAATAGAAAAATACTGTCTTCATTGATTATCTCCTGTAACATCTGCCCACGTCTGTCTATAAAAACAAGTTCTAAAAAGAGGTCATGATGATACAAAACCAATTATAAAATTTGGAAGAGAAAAACCTAACTTACAATTGAAAACACATATGAATTTTTATAGTAATATGCAAATTTTATTAATTTTCAATTATATATGAAAACTAGATATTATTATTGCCTTTACCTTCCAGAGGTCAGCTGTTCCTTCAATAAGTTTGGCATTTGTTTTACAGTATTTCAGAGCCAGATGCAAACATTCAGTTCCATAATCCAGGTCATAGTCTGTACACTGTAGTAATTAAAAAAGAAAAAACATCCTCTAATTAGCCTTAAAGAAATCATACTTTTAAGTAGTAACAGATTTGCTTTCATTAATTAAACCTCACATCTCAACAGTCCTATCTGGAATAATACGTCTGTATTAGGTAGGTAGGTTCAGAATGGTCTAGAAATAAAAACGGTTCCAAGAAGCTCATGCCAAATTGTAGCTATTCAGCAAAGTGTTACATAAGTAAATAAACATTTATAAGCACAGATGAATTCAATTAGATGCTGCAAGTATTTTGCTAAACCTTTACACTGGTAACTAAATGAACGAGAAGTTACATGTATAAAAATAATTTTTGATGGAGTTGAGGGAGGCTTCACCAAAAGACATCATTGACCTTCCAGTGACAAACCTTTAGAGTATGGAAACAAGCTAATAAACTCATGACTTTTCAAAGCATGACTTCAAATTCCATGTCTGCGTTGGTTGCTGCATCATCATAAAAAGGATGGTGGTAACTATGAACCTCTGTATTCCTTATATGATTCCCTCTATCTTTTTTTCCAGTTAGCTGTACAAAAATAGCAACATCTGGTGCTTCACGAGCCTTGAAGAAAAAAACCAAAAACAAAAACAAACAAACAAACAAACAAACCAAACAACTAAAAAAAAGTTTGTCCACTTTTCATTCACCTCGAAAAGCCATTATTCTCTCAACACACCCTTCCCAAGCAGTTCAGCTTCCTATAAGTACTGATTGTAAGACTCCTATTAATGAAAAACTGAGTAAGGAGCAGAATCTCCTGAGCCAAAACACAGGTAAAAATGCAGGAACAGTATCCAGTCTCTATTAGAGAGTGAATAGCCAACAGTAAGTAAGAACAAGGCAATCATATCTTCTTACTTTCCCAGAACATTCCCTTGGCCCCATATAAAGCTATTATTCTGTCTTCAGAAATCCTTAAAATAAAAAGTCCCTAAGGGACACACTGAACCAGAAGTGACTGCCTTAACAGTGTTCAGTGAATTACAGGAATCCTGAATTCACCCAATTATTTTTTGAATAGCAGTATTTTTTTAGCAGCTGCATCAGGGCGCATCTGATTCATCACTCTTTTCATCACATGCTCTGTTGTTCTCACTGAATAGGGAGTGCAAACCCACCTTCTCAGCCCTTCAAAATGCTCCACCACATCTCTTCTCACATCTTCCCACAGAAAAAGACATCAATATCTATTCAGTCATTTCATGTGTGGAAGTTTTACAAAACTTTGTAAAGGAGGGCAAAAGAGTTGATCATTTATCTTCACTTACCTATGAATTTTATAACATTCTTCTAAAATCCTTCTTAGTCAGCCCTCATCTCTAGTAAATAGAAAAAAGATGGCTATCTCCACTTCCTGTTCCAAATTATTTATGAACAAAATAAAGGCACAGGTCTCAACACAGGCCATCATGAAACTCCACTGGTGGTTTACTGCTAAGAGAACTGCTCATGCACTTTACCTTGTTTCTTATCTTCTAACAAATAATCTACTCTGGGAAATACTTACTCTTATCCCAAACCATTTCAAGTTTCCTTAAAGAGTCTTTAGTAAAAGCTTCTGTGGAACATCTTGTTATGCAAGTAGGTTGTTAGCAGCTTCAGAAACCTCAAACAAGATGTCATTCTCTAAGGAGGTAAGTGGCAACTAGCTCTGCAACAGATAAGCTTTCCTCTACAGAAGCTGAAATAACTCTTTCACTGTGTCAAATTTAACCATGTATCTGTAAATTTATATTTTGAAGATACCAGTAATTTCCAGTCTCCTCCAGGATTCAAGAAATCAAAGTGGTCAAGAATGTAAAAACCTGAGTTGAAAAAGAACCAAATGAGAGTGCTTCAATACAACTTGGCCTTTTTTTTAATTAATTTCCTCATGAAGTTTAATAAAACAGATGAAGGATACATTTTTAGTTTTTATTCTTGTTTTATAGTGCATCAGTGATATTCAAAGAATTCATTCAGCACTACACATCTGAATTGTATTACTAAGACACACAGACATCTTACAAAAATCCGTTATCACTTTTACATTACTGAAATTAGTAATTGTTGTCATTTTAGTTTGTCAGCCCACTTAGAAATTTAAATGTTATAGTTCTCTATAGCAGTCTTCAAGTGCTTTGAATTACAAAATAAAAGAGACACAAGATGATAGAATAACTTAAAAAGAAAGGGGTTTCATAAAGACACTTTGGAATATTCTAAAATTAAGCAGAAATTACCTTCAGTCTTTAAATAAACAAAATATACAAAAATATACAAAAAAGTTCAACAGAAAGTATAAAGGAATAGGGAACTCTAGCTCCAAAATATATAAAATGCAGGAATCCCTCAAGTAAAGAGGTCCAGGGATAAAGTGCCAATAAACCCAGAAATGGCCTAGTAACTCTCAGTTCTCTATATTTATTACCAAAATTGCTCTTTTATTTTGTTTTGTTTTTAAGAAAAATTTTCTGGTAGAACACAAACTATTCTCTACTAATTTGAATAACATACAGATTAAAAAAAAACCATATATATTTTTACTTAGCTTCAAAATGGAAGAGAAAAATTCAGAAAAAATTAGCTGTGAAAGAATTTACTTTTAAATAACGTTAAGTTACATCATTTTAATATATGGGTAATGAATGCAATTAGGACAGAACTAAGCAACTCCAACTTTTTGGCAAGATATTAATTACAGATAATTAGTTGGGAGTGGATAAATTCCACAAATGGGCTAAAGCATCTTGAGGGTATTGCCGGCTTTAAGGGATGAAATACAACACAAAGCAAAGTAATAATTAAAACCATATTTCACTAACACTTGTATATCATGATATTTACCACTCTTATTATCTGTAATTGTTTCAACCTAAACACATTGTCACAGTGTACTGTTCTGCAAGTCTGATACGCTGATGTCAGAAGAGAACAATAAAATGAAGTATCAGCACAAGACCAGCTTAGTTAATATACCATCCATATGCTAAATAGCTTCACAAGTGAAATTTTAAATTCATATTTAAAGTGCACAGTTCAAAATCTTCTATGTTGCTCTAAGAAATTCAGTTAACAAATTAAGCATTATTAGTGAGCTATAAAAATAAGTTGTGCATCAAGGCACAGCATCATCAGCCAGTCAAGGGAGGTGACTGTCCCGCTCTGCTCTGCCTGGCACCATGAGTGCTGCGTGCAGTTTTGAGCACCACAAAGTAAGAAAGATATAAAGCTATTACAAAGTGCTGAAAGGAGGGCTACAAAGATAGCGAAGGGCCTAGAGGGAGGCCATATGAGGTCACTTGTCTTATTTAAACTGGAGAAGAGAAGCCTGAGGGGAGACCTCATTGTAGTCTACAACTTCCTCAAGAGGGGAAGCAGAGGCCCAGGCACTGATCTCTTCTCTTTGGTGACCACACTCAAGAAATGTCTCAAGACTCAAGGAGATGTCAGGGGAGGTTTAAGTTGGATATTAGGAAAAGGTTTTTCACCCAGAGGGAAGGAACAGGTTCCCCAGGGAAGTGGTCACAGCACCAAGCCTGACAGAGTCCCAGAAGCATTTGGACACACTCTTGGGCATTTGGTGTGATTCTTGGGATTGTCCTGTGCAGGGCCAGGAGTAGGACTCAGTGACCCTTGTGGTTCACTTTTGACTCTGGATATTCTATGATTCTATAAAAATTCCAGAATATCTGTGAGGAAAATTCTTACTGACACAGTTGTGCAACTGTTCTCATCCTAAGTCTTCTGCATTATTTTAGTGTACATCTAGAGTCAATTTACAATACAAAAATCTGTTTAAAACTCCTACTATTTCTAAAGTCTCTTAATGACTGAAAGCCTTTTTAACATAAAGTATGACAGTGTACAGTTAACTGTATTTGACATACACACATAGCTTTGTGAAACAATAGACATAGTTTAAGTTTCAGACCACAGATTTGAAATGGTGGAAACAGCTGGAAATATTGGCACAAAACATATTCACAAAAGAAAGAAAACTATTAGTTTAGCTCTTTAAATGACACAGATGAAAATATGTTACTTAAAAATGCTTTTGTACTGTAGAATATTCAATGGCATTCTAATAGGTGTTTTGGGGAAACTTTTTTGTGGGTGGCTTATTTGTTTATTTGTTTTCCAAGAGTGGATGTTTGAATAAAATACTATGGGTGGAGAGAGATCCAGAACTTTAGCATTACACCAATTCTTATTCCTCTTCCTCCAAAATTAGTTTGAGAATATTTTGAAAATAAACCCTACTTCTTAAAATGCAAGGTATACTGTTGTCACTTAGATGTAAACATGGAACAAGGGGTTAGAGAAAAGAGCAGCTGCTCCACAGCCTGTGTGTCTCTGGTACTTACTAATACTCCATATGCTCACTTGTTTCCAATACTCTGAACTCTACTTTAATGTATCTTTATACTGATAAACATTTTGAATGGATATATGGAAACCAGTGACAGGACCCAAAGGAATGGCCTGTACTTGTGTCAGGGGAGGTTTAGGTTGGATACCAGAAAAATTATTCACCCAGAGGGTGGTTGAGTGCTGGAAGGTGGTTGACTCCCCAGGGAAGTGGTCACAGCACCAAGTCTAACAGAGTTCAGGAAGTGTTTGGACAATACTCTCAGGCACATGGTGTGACCCCTGGGGACGGTCCTGTGCAGGGATAAGAGTTGAAGTCGACGATCCTTGTGGGTCCCTTCCAACTCAGCAGATTCTGTGATTCTGTAGTAACCATACAACAGAACAAGCATGGATGGAAAAAAAAAATCATTACAGCACTATCATCCCTTATCTTTTCATTATTCCTTAGTTTACAAAAAGGACGCAAAATTAATATTCTTTATGCATTAACTGAAAGAAAATCTTCGGATTTGCTCCTTTACACAGGTATCATTCAAGCCCGTATAGAGCCAGAATTTATACTTCTGTAACGATTGACTGTGTCATCTTTAGCACTTTTTCCACTGTCAGCAGGCTCTCCATT